TTTCTGCAGTCTACGATGTGTTTTCCCTATTTCTCTTCCGTCTTTCCTTTTTTTCCTTTCGTGTGTGTGTATGTGTGTTGTGGTGGCATTGTATGTGCATGAATGTGGATTAGTGTGTGCATCTGTGTGTGAGCCTACAGAAGCTAGAGGAGGATTTGGGGTGTTCTATTCTGTTGCCCTCCCTCTTATTCCCGTGAGACAAAGCACCCCTCAGCAGCAACTGTTGTATGGTCTGAGGTGGCCATTTCTTCTGTCTCCAGCAGGTGGCGACAAAGCACAGAGGCAAGTGTGCCCCTTCCCAGGTATGCTTGTTTTGCCTGAAGACGTAACAGGCAACCCACTGGGTCATGGGAGACGCCTCTTTCCAGGATCCAAGCAGAGGTTGCAAATGGGGAGAGACCCTGGGCTAACAGGAATCTGCAAAGAAAGTCTGCAGCCACTCCGAGACAGTTGTTTCCCTGTGACTCTGGGTCTTGGGATGGTTCAGATCCACTCCAGAGCTCTCAGCCCCTAGTGAGTAAGTGACCTGGAAGTTACCAGCTGCAGAGCAAAACCAACCAACAAACAAATGAAAAACTGTCTCTGATCATGACGTTAATAAGAGGCCAAACTGGGACCAAACCCAGGCTTAGCTGTACCCCAAATGTGTGATCTCGTCAGCAAGCCATGGTCCTGGTTCGACCTAAGCCCATGCAGTCGTGTAATCAGAATCGAAGGAGCTTTGTTACAAGGAGATTCTCCTCGAATGGGAGACAGATGGTGTGAGCCCCAACATCCTTTAGGGTGAGAAGGACTCTGCCCAGCTCAGGGGCAGTGGAAGCCCAAGAAAGAATTACAATAAAATACTGTTTTCAAATATAGACCTGGTCCTATGTGCATCTGACTCACTCAAAGATCTGCAGAGAATAGCTGGCCCTCTGTATCTATAACTGCCACAGAGCCTGGAACAACTTAATCCTTGAGGAATAGTTGACAAAGGGATGAAGAAGAAGCCAAGAACTGAGGACAGAAGCCAGGTGGGTCAAGGCAGGCTTTTCAGGTGTGTGGAGACATGGCGGACCTTGGAGGGTGAGCTATAAGTTTACCAGGTGGAAAGAGAGCTAAAGGCACTCCAGCTACACACGGAGGAAGGACAGGGTGCATCTTCTACTACGTTCAATGTGCATCTAATAACTGCCCCCCGCCCCCACGTGCACTCTACACTCAAGGCATGAGGGGCAGGGAGGGAAAGAGGGAGGGAGGGAAGGGGAGGAAGAGGGAAGGGGAGGGGGAGTGCTCCACCTTTACTGACTCCCTTCCTCAGCCGTTTGTCAATCAGGCTGAGGTGTTGGGGCTTTGGGCAACATATTCCCCACTGATCCTAAGTACTGAGATGTCCCACCCATACTCTGATTTGCTTGATGGTCCACTCATGGCCATAGAGACCTCAGTTGCTCTTGACAGCCCAGATACTATGCCACAGTTGGGATCCTGAAATATCCCCCAAAACTGATGCCTGCGACACCATTGAGGGGTTGCAGGAACTTCTGTTTGTTGGGGTTTTTTGAGACAAGTTCTACCATGTAGATCAGGCTGGCCTAGAGCTCAGAGAAAGCCAGAGGAAGCTGGCTTAGAGTTTCTTCTGCCTCCCAACCGCTTAGAAGTTATAGATCCTTTAAGAGACGGTACCTGTCTTAGTTAGAGTTTCTGTTGCTGTGAAGAGACACCATGACCATGGCAACTCTTATAAGGAAAACATTTAATCGGGATGACTTGCTCACTGTTCAGAGGTTCAGGCCATTATCATCATGGTGGGGAGCACGGTGGTGTGCAGGCAGACATAGTGCTGGAGAAGTAGCTGAGAGTCCTACATCATTTAGGCAACAAGAAATGGTCTGTGACACTGAGCGAAGCTTAAGTAAAAGAGACCTCAAAGCCCACCCCCATAGTGACACACCTACTCCAACAAGGCCACACCTCCCAATAGCGCCACTCCCTTTGGGGTCCATTTTCTTTCAAACCACCATAGAATCTAAAGGGAGGAAATTAAGTTATCAGGGGGTGTGCACAGTCTCTTCCTGCCCATCTCTGCCTCTCTGCTTCCCAGCTGCCAGGCCCTTCATGATGTACCCAGTTACCACAGGTCCAAAGGTAGTCGAACCAAGTGACCACGAGCTGAAATATTGCAAACTACAAACTAAACAAAAACTTTCCTGCTTATAAGTTTATTTATCTCAGGTATTTTGTCATAGTACCAGAAAGCTAATACAGCCATCTTAGTTCCCGACACAGTCTCTTCTGTTGTGGTGGCCTTGGTCTTCCTTCTTTCTAAGTTAATGCCACAATGGAAAGCATAAGAGCTATCCTAGTGTTTGGGAGGCAGAGGCAGGAGGATCAGTTCAAAGTCGTCTTTGGCTACACAGTGAGTTCAGGCCAGCTTAGGCTACACAAGATTCTGTCTTAAAAAAGAAAAAAGAAAAACACAATGAAGAATAAAGGGGGTAGTGTAGGAGCCAGTGCTCTCCAAGTTCAAGTCTCAGCTCCACCATCTACTACTGGCTGCGAGGATATGGGGATATTTAATCCTCTGCGATCACATTCCTCATGTTATACACAGTGATGCTGATCATAAGAACAGGGGCTCACAGCACTGACAGAGGGCTGACTTAACTCGCTGCAGCTCCCGGGCAGCTGCCTCTGGGATGGACCATCTTCTTCAGACTGCTTGCTTGAGGAGGGCAGAGACTGTTCTTTCCATCCATTCCTCTGTCTTGGAATGTTCTCCAATCTGTATTCTTCCTCTTCCTCCTCCTCCTCCTCCTCCTCCTCTTCTCTCCCTTCCCAGCAGGTGCCCTCAGCATTTGCCTGATCTGCTGCTCTGTCACCCCAGCTGCCACACACATCCCAACATCCGTGGCATGAATGACTCTTTGCTCTAAGATGACAGTGGTGCATATTGGAAATGACATACCGGAGAGATGTTATGGAAGAGACAGAAAAGGGTCTGATACTTTGTCTGCAGATGACTAGACGGAGGAGCAATACAAGAACATGTACTATGGGTGGAGAAGTCACACAGAGTGACACATGGATCATTGTCCACAATGCCTCAACTAGGCAAAACTAAAGCCAGGAAAACTGAGTGGCTGGCTGGTGACATCTGGAGGGCTTTCACATACCCGTGTAGCAATCAGGATGGTTGTCACCAGTCAGACACTCAACTGGGACTGTGGGCTGCAGTGGCTCTACCTATTCCTGGCCTCCACACAGCACAGCAGCCAGTAGGGTGGCTCAGGGCTCCTGCATGCATCCCTTTACCACCAAGACCTGCGACTCCTGCACCATTACCTTTTTCCTATCATTGAGGGAGCCATCACAGGCCAGGAGGTAAGCCAGGAGGACACAGAGAATGGGAACACTTTGCAATGGGAAAATGGTTGAACGATGTAGTGGCCATGTTCTGAAAACCCCTCTAGGCTGAGGGTAGAGCTCAGTTGGGGAAAGTACTGTTTTAGCATTAGAAAAGAACTAGGTCCAATCCCCAGCACCCCACAAACACAGTGGTAGCACACAAGTCTGCAATCCAGCACTCCTGAGCGGGAACAGGAAGACCAGGAGCTCAAGGCTATTCTCGGCCTCAGCCAGTTCCTTGCCAGTCTGGGGTACACTCAAAACAGCAATTCAAGCATTCTCCAGCCCAAACATCCCATCTGTCCCTGAACCCATGCTGGAGTCTCTCTCGTCCATCAGGCTCCCCTGTGCTCAGCTCCCTTCCCAGCCCCCATCAGTATCTCCATAGACACCCAAAGGGCACTTTAGAATGCACACACCAAACGAGTCACCTGCTTAATCTCCAGTGTCCCCACTGGACTCTAAGCCTTCTGGGTCTGCAGCGCCCCCCTCTTCCCTCCACCTCATTGGCTTCCTTTCTCTTCACCCCAGTTCTACCCTCACCCACCTCCCAGCTTCTACCATAACAGGTGTCCAAATCCTGTGACCTGCTAGGGACAGCCCCACCACCTCCTCAGAGCTAAAATGAACCCTCTCTCCTAACACCCTGTCCTGTGACCTTCCCAGCAGCCTGTGCCATCTGGAGCTGTCTCCCCACTGTTCCCAGAGGAAGGTCTTCTTTATTCCTTGAGTCCACTGTGTTCACAATGCTGCCTGGCTGGAGTCTGTAGCCCGTGGATGCATGCATGGACGGCGGCTTCCATGGAAGAAGGCTGTACATGAGTGTAAATGAGTGTGTGCATGGAGAACTGCAGTCTTGAAGGCTAAGGAGGCCCGGAGTGGGGAGAAGAGTAGGGGTTCATTAGAGTTCACTAGCTGTTCCAATCTAGCTATTCACAAGCTGGTGATTTTGAGTTCGACTTTGACTTCACCTTCATGAGCACAGTCTCTCCAGAGGAAACTTCTTGGGTCCTATATCCCATAGCTCTCTGGATTAAGGTGTTTTACCAAAGGAAGGGTCAGTGTCGTCTCTGGTCCGGAAGACACAAGGCCAGAATGCACTACCTGAATCACCCAGCAGGTGTCGCCACGAGAGCGCCCTGAGCTTTCACCTGCGTGAGCTCTCAGGTTCTGCTTCTAGCCTTTGGGCTTCAGTCCAATTCCAAGTCTCCACCGGTAGCGAGATTCCGGAGGATCCTGGAACGTCTAGCCCTCGGTACAGCCAGTGCGGTAGTAGTTCTTCAGATGGGGTCGCCACCCCAGCTCCCTGTTTCTAGCCCGTGTGACAGGGCTCTAACAAGGCGCGAGGGTTCTGGAATGAGCCTATATCCTCTCCACCCAGAGGATGGCCCTTGGGCACCTGCTGGTCTCAACCTGCGAGTTAGTGAAGGATGCTAGGCGAGCGGGATTCCACCGCCCCCCACCCCCAACTCCGCACCGCGCCCCCGCCTCCCACCGTGAGCTCGGAGGAGCGCCGCGGGAGCGCGCTCGGGGCAGACATCCTCGACCCGCGAGCGCTCCGGCGCGGGGCGGGCGCTCCGGGAGGCGGGCGGGGGAAGGGCGGAGAGGGAGGGGCGGGGGCGGGCGGCAGCAGCGCCCCGCAGTCCCCGCGCCTCAAACACTTGCCGCGATCGCTGGCGCGCAGCGTCGCCCCGCGTTGCGCGCTTGTCTCTCCCTCCCACTCCGCGGCTCCCGCGCTCTGGGACAGTCTCCAGCGCCTAGCGCGGACCGACGTACAGACGGCCGGCCCAGGGAGCCTCGGCCCGCGCCCCCTGAGCAGGCTATGTGGATTGCCCCGCCGGGCCCGGCCGGCGGGATCAGCACAGCCCGGCCCGTGGCACCCGCCACCAGCGGGGACTATGACCCGGAAAGCGCGGCGCTGCCTGGGCCACCTCTTTCTCAGCCTGGGCATGGTCTACCTCCGGATCGGGTAAGCGCCGCGCGCGTCCTCTCCGCGCGTGCGGTCCAGCGTGCGGTCCAAGCAAAGTTGGCTGGGCCCGGGAGGGAGGCGTGCTGCCCAACTTAACTCAGGAGAGGCAGCGGGCGGTGCGGGAACCCTGAGGGCACAAAGGCTCCCAGCGAGCGGACACCTCCCCGGTGCATACTGTTCCGTAGACCTGAGCAGGGGATCGGCCATCCCAAGGATATCCGAGTCTGGGAATCCTCAGAAACAGATAGCTCTGGGACTCTAGAGGAGAGTAGCTGCTCCATAGGGTCAGCTTCCCCAGGGACCCCCGCAAACCACAAGCACAGCAGGTCTGCCAGGACTACAACCACCCCATAGAGAGCTCAGTTCCGGGCAGAAACTCCGCGCGTGTGGTGCGGGCGCAGCCCTTTTGCAGACAGGGCTCCTCGGGCAGCAAACAGGGACCTAGAGGCGGGGGAATGTTCTTTGGCAAAAGCATAAGCCACCTCTCAGAGTCCTGGCACCGCCCCATTTCCAACGACCCTCAGACCCCATTCCCAAGCCAGGAGGATAGCATCCTCAGCAATCAGAACCAAATAGTTAAGTCCTGAGGTAGTCAATGGATGGTCAGAGACACCAGGGAGAGATGACCTCTAGATCAGCAAAGGGAAGCGAGACAGTCCGACCCTGGGGTCGCTGGGGTGGGAGTCAAGGAGCCCAGGAGTGTCTGGAGGTGGGGCAGGCGACACTCTTCTAGACTAGAAAAGTGGAAGTAGGTGGCTCCAGATGCGGCTTGCGCTGCATTACACGGTGTTTCCCTTTGTACTTAGGAAGTGACTTGTGTGCGGCACGATTCGGGGGGCGTGAGGGGCTTTAGACACGGACAGAGGTGCTGGCGCCAAAGGGCCACCTTGGTAGGTTTCACACCTGCCTCTCCACTCACCCCTACTCTCTTGTGCGAACCTCCTGTCGCCGCTTTGGAGAGGACTGGACCCAAGGCCAGGGGGCGTGTGTGGCAGACCCTTTGTGTTTCTCCACCGCCACCCTCAGGCCTCCCGCTTCCCCAACCCCACCTCTCTGGAACGGGATTTCGCAACCAAGTGTGCGCGCTGAGTGGACTAGGCGGCCTCCAGCCCGACCGCGGATCGAGAGGCGGCTTCTGGGCTCGCGCGCTGCCTGCCTGCGGGCGTGTTGTAAGTGTTATTGATTCGCCCGCGTCTGGATGGCTTTTCTTTTTTTTCCCCACTTGCTTTAATCTTCATCTTGGCCGGTACACTGCCGCCCTGCGCTCATCCACTCATCCAACATCCAGGAAGCGGGCCGGGCCTATTGGCTCTGGCCGCCTTAGGTATTATCTTCTTTTTAATTAGAAACGGGGGCGGAGACAGACACCGACGACTGAAGAAGAGAAAAACAGAGAATAGACCTCCCTGGTCTCCTCAGGATCCGACACCTCATTGGCTCACTAGGGGCCCAGCTACCCTAGGGGAGGAGGCGGAGGTCAGGAGGGCGTGGCCTTCTCCTCTCTGGGGCAGTTGGAGGGAGGTCCCAGTAAAGAGTTGCAGTGACTTTGAACTGCTCTGCTGCCCCCTGGGTCCGAGGGTTAAGGTCCCCAAATCCCCGGAGGTTTCCCAGTCTGGTAGGTAAGACTGGCTCCTGTGCCTCCCATTCTGCGTGGCACATCTGTGGTATTCTAAGTTTCCCTGGGTTGTTCAGGCGACTCCAGCACTAGCCCCCGGGAACCGTTAGTTCCCCCAAATATTGGAAATGGCACCTCAATATGTGCTTCCCAGCGACCCTCTGGGATGCAGACTGCCTACCAGAAGCCTCTGCTTAAACAGTGTGGGCTCTGAGATACACAGAGGGGGTGTGAACTTGCTCCAGGTTAGAAAACTAAGGAAGGCTTTGATGGAAAAGAGGCCCGTCCCCTTTGGCTCTAGTAAATTGCTTCTCTGAAATTTGGGTCCCATGGTGTCCTTGTGCTCTGCAGGGACAGACATTTCAGCTAGATGTTCAGAGGACTTGTAGCCAAAATCTTTACATGCCATCCTTCTGTCCTGCCCTCCCTTAGATCTCTCACCCACGGTGGCTCTGTGGGAGGTCCACTGTAGTAGCCGAGATGAGATTTCCACCTCTAGCACCTGCCAGCCAGAGCCTTCCTCCAGGTCTCACTCCCTGTCTCTGTGTCCCCTCCAGTGGCTTCTCTTCGGTGGTCGCTCTGGGTGCGAGCATCATCTGTAACAAGATCCCAGGCCTGGCTCCCAGACAGCGGGCAATCTGCCAGAGCCGGCCGGACGCCATCATCGTCATAGGAGAAGGCTCCCAAATGGGCCTGGACGAGTGTCAGTTTCAGTTCCGCAATGGCCGCTGGAACTGCTCAGCTCTGGGAGAGCGCACTGTCTTCGGGAAGGAGCTTAAAGTGGGTATGTGATCATCAGACACTCTGAGCAGGGCCCGCTGGTCTATGAAGAGAGTCAGTCCCCTTGGGAGCCCTCTGTGATCCCTTTACTAGCACTATGCTCCAATACCCTTGCTGATTGCATCTTGTGGGTGTATGGCTTGGAATAGGGTCTCCCACTGAAGGCCAGGGTTGTAGATGGAAGCCAGACCACTTCGTTGGTTACAGGCAAAGCTACAGACCAACTGATGGCCCAAAGGCTCACTGGCAGATCTAACATATTTTCAAATGAGGTCCAAATTTAAATGTGCAGTGTTCTACCCATCATAGAGAGTTGGAGCTTCTTTTGGGAAATGGACAGATCTACTGATCACCTGTGTGCACTGGCATCGTTGTGTTAGTTAGAGCTGACAATACAGCCTCCTGGGGGTAGTCTGAGTGACCATTCTCTGCCACAGTCCCCACCATGCTCTACTGTGGTCCAGCATGCATAGTCCTGTGACACAATCCACCTGATTTCTGCAGCAGTGCTTGGGGGATGAGTTGGCATGTGCAGACATGTATGTGTGCCTGAGCACATGCATACATATATTCAACTTGCAGAACAATCATGATAAGCTTGTGATGGGAAGGGAGCAGAGAATCTCACTAATCTTCAGGAGGTTCTGGACCGTGGGGAAGGATGTGGAGATGTCTTCTCACTTGCATGTGTCCAGACTTGGGGGCCGAAGATGGCCACAGACTCGCTTCTGCACTGTGACCTTCCTCGAGGCACAGAGCAATATTGGTCTGTTCGGGCTGGGCTTCCTGCACGCACAGCTCTGCAGCAAAGGCCTCCCTGAGTGCTCTCTTCGGCCCTAGCACCAGCAACTCCAGTGGGATGCTCGAAATCCCCGGTCCAGTCCAGCATCCTTCACGTCCTGGCTGCTTCCCCAGCTTCCCGGCTGTCATGTGGGCTCCCAGGCTGTCCCACCTCCCCACTGCTCCCAGAAAGAAGGAACAGCTAAGTAGAAACCAGAGCATGGTGTTACTCTGTGAAAGACCCTTTAAAGGGCCACTTACTCCAGCCAGCAGGAAACCATTGTCCACCTGCTGTTGAGACCTTGGTCCCTTCAGGACCACTCAGTCTTATCCTCTTCTCTAAACACACCTTACTGGTTTCTCTTAAGGGCCATTGTGCCCCTCTAGAGACCAGTGCCATAGTCCGAATCCTCTGTATGCATTCAAGTCCCTTGGAGCCTCCCACCACCTGCTCCTTGGCTCTGCATCAGCCAACACCTCACACTATTTCAGTGCATTCTGCCCACTTCAGGAGGGCAGAGGCTCCCAGCCGGCTCACAATGAGTGCATCATTCCCTGCCTCCAGGCAGTCTTGCTGCAAGTCTACTTTGGTTACCAGATTCTGTACTGACGACAGAGCTGGGTCCTGTGGTCTATATGACATGGTCGGGCAGGTCCCCTCCGGCAGAGCCCCTTCCCCAGCATTCCCTGTCTAGATCTTGGCTACATGGAATCCCTCCTCCCCACGCTCACCTGTCCCCTCCCTCGTCTCAACCTCAAAATCCGTTTTCTTGTGGAGTGGACCACCTCAGCTCAGGCAACAGGATGTTGTCAACACCAAAACTGCGGTTGAAGCCTCTGAAATCCCAGTCTCCCCAGCCTTCTGCTTGACATCTATCAGCTTTGTCCTCCTCAGGTGTCCCATCCATCTTCTAATTCCTGATACCCAGGCTGGGGCTCTGGCATTATTTTGAACCTAATAGCCTTGCTGGACTATGTTGAGTAAACTTGCTACAGATGAGTAAACTGAGGCTCAGAAGGGACTTGGCCAAAGTGAGTGACAGGGTCTCCCAGGACAGAGTTCATCTCTTACAACTTGCTGTTTCAGAATGGGCATAGCCAACTTACAGACACACTGTGATGATACCCATTAGGCTATGGCAGAGGGGACCAGGATGGAGCCACCCCTGGATCATAACACCCCACACACCTGGCTATATTCTATGGGATTAGTCCCACACAGTCTAAGGAGGAGGGATGCCACCAGTAGAGGCATGCCAGTTGGGACAGGTAAGGGTAACTCTGAGGAAACACATGACATAGCGATGCTGGGGTACCCTGGATGAAAGTAGGACCTAGAGCTGGAAGATATGGGAGCCCAGAAACTGTGGGAGCCCACTCTAAGGAGCCTGAATTTCTAGGACTTGAGATCTGTTGGAAGATTCTGACCATGACCATTACTACCAAAGTATGGGCTTCACCTTAAACATGGTCACTATTCAATGATTATTGACCCACAAAAAATGGCAGCTTCATGAGTCAAGCCTTTCTCTTATGTTAACAAGTATCAAGTTATCTCTCAAATGTAGGATTTCTGGGTTCCTCAACTTCACCCCTACCCCTAGGATTGCTTCATCTTGCCTTGTAGGGGTGAGGTCTCTGACATATGGATCCCCTCTGGTACTCTAAACTATAGGGCACATGTCCTTTGCAGGGACTTCTCAGAAGCTCCATCCTGTGCATCTTGGTAGAGCCCATTGGCTAGAATTTAGTCACATGACTTCACCTAGCTGCAAGTGAAGCTGTGAAAGGCAGTCTTGCACACAGAACAGCAATGTTATCAGCTCAGGATGTTAGGAATATGCAAGTAGATTATGAAGTAAGTGTAGCTAGCTTCTACTTCCCCAAGCTGAGGTCTGAAGACTTCCTTCTCCCACCTGCTCCCACCCACCCCTACTGTGGTCCTCTGTTCTGCCTGAGATTCCTGGCTTTGCCTTCCCTTCTGAGTGTCTGGATTTTCATGCAGAGATCTGAGAAGGCTGTGAGCATGTCGAGACAAGGCCTCTTGGAAGTAGAAATTGAAACCAAGTCCAACACACCCAGGTGAAAAGGGGACTGTTGAAATGCCTAAGGAACTGGAAAGCTAGGGATGGTGCTAACTTCAGAACAGCTGGACCAGAGGTTGCATTGCTTTCCAATAATGCTATGAGGACAGCCAGATGGCCACTGTAGACCCAGGACCACAACAGGTTCAAGACCTCAGGAAAGAGCCTTGGCCTAGCTCCAGCCATATTGTAAAAGTCCCAATGTTTCCTCAGACTCCACAGCTTCATGCAGCTGAACTTTGGGTAGTGTGTCCATCCCAAGGGCAAGGTGCTTTGCTGGCCAGCATGAGAGCTCCACTCTGTTCATCTCTCATGGAAAAGAAGCAAAATGCCAAAGCTGGGGGTTAAACAGCTGGCATTCATTCCTAACAGTTCCCGAGGCTGGGGGTTCAAGATCAAGGCCCAGCAGGGTTGCTTTCTCCCAAGGCTTCTCTCTTGAACTTTCACAAGGCTTTTCCCCACCCGGTGCTGGGGATCCACCCCAGGGCCTTGTACTTACTAGGAAATCACTCTACCCCTGACTGTAAAGGAGTTTTGTTGCTCTATCCTCACCTGCTTATTCCTTTCCCTCACAGAAGCTCTCACGGTTCTTTTTTAAAAAAATCACCAGTCTCGTGGGATTTGGCCGACCAATGACCGTATTTTAACCTAACCCCCTCTTTGAAGGCCTTCTCTCCAGTTGCACTCACATTCTGGGGTGCTAGGGATCAGAGCATCAGTGTGAGTTATAGGGGACAGAGCTGAGCCTATAGCAACAAGCAGTGACATGGTCCATGACGTAGGAGAGGTGTTGGAGGTGGAAGAGGCTCAGAGGTGGGACCCCCAAGATGAAAAGGGGGGTTTGGCTCTAAGAGCAAGGTAAGGAACTTTGCTGGCTAGTCACTGGGATCACAGACAGTGGGAAAAGCCAAGGGAACTGTGAATAAGGTCCTAGGAGACAGGGAGAGGGCTCAGGTAAGGGGGGTTCTGGTGAGTGAGTCTTTCCTGAGAGTGCAGGGATTCTTTCTGTGTGGTGTATGACTTGCTGCGTTTAATCAGCTGAGATCTGGCCCAGGGAGACGCTCTGGGGGCCCAAGAAGGGCTTTAGCCCCACCCATCCCCATCTCTCTCTTATGTGCTGGGGACTGAAGCCAGAGCCTTAATCATGCTAGGCAAATGCTCTGTCATGGAACTGCATCTCCAACCCTAATTATCCTTCTCTCTCTTCTTTTCTTCCTTCCTTCCTTCCTTCCTTCCTTCCTTCCTTCCTTCCTTCCTTTCCTTTTACATTTTTCATTTTTTATATACCTTAAATCTTTTTCTTAGACCTTCACAACGTGTGTTTACACACCTGAAAACACTTTCTTAGACCTTCAGAACTCCTTCTTCAAATCCAGTGGAGGAGTGATGGTCCTTCGTGGTGGGAGCTTCCTTCTGCACCTGTCCCCTCCCATGACAATCTTTCTCCGTTGTGAATGTGGAGGGGATGGAGATGTTTCCACGTCCCTGCTGGCTTATGTTTTACTCATCATAACAGATACACCTCCCCATGAAACGACTTACTTCATTTCAGTTGAGTCTAATTATGACTGTGGCAAATTCTACATCTGTCACTCCGTAGTGCCACTCATGGCCTCCCCAACAGGACTTCTCAGACCTCCACATTCCTGCCAGGTTGAGTGGGTGCCACACATGGAGCTCCCTGCCACCTGCCATCGTGATTTATATTTCCTAGTGAAGGGAGGGTGTTGTATTTACTCACCCCTGAGCTGCCTGTTCATGCCTTTCGCCCATTACCCTGTCGTCTTGCAGGTTCTCCCATTGGGCTGGGATGATGTGGTAGTACTGACGTCATGAGCCAGGGATCCAGGGCTGCCTTAGCAGTGTCCAGGTGGGGAGCCTCACTCTCTGTTCCTCTTCACCGAGGCTCAAATATGAGCAGGAACTGGGACAGCCCTTTCTCATGGCCCTGTCCTTCCAGTCTCGCAGAGAGGCAAGAGTCAGCTGCGTCCCGGGGCTGCTCTGTGGCAGTGCTGAGACTTGGCAGTGAGTTCTCCATTGCTGGAGGATTTGCCTGTGTGCATGAGCCAGACTTGAGAACCTCAGGGAAGCTGCGTGGGGCAGCTAGATGTGCTCTAGAATTGGAGTCACACACCCAGGT